AGGAAATGTCTGATTTGAATAAGTATAGCCCACCTCCTCAGTCATCAGATCTCTACATGGCAGCTAGCAAGCACTACCAGCAAGCTAAAATGATTCTTGAGAATATTCCAAATCCAGACAATGAGGTAAGACTGAAATACTAGGAAAAGGAGTATTTGCTCGAAATTGTGTTTGTTTTCAGCTGGATCTCCTGGAGATTAAAAATGTACTTCATTAAAATGCTGAGCAAAGCTGAGTGCTTTGTGAAAGGAGTAGACAGTGGAGAGTGGTGGCATCTTATGCAGCAGTCTGTTTCAGTACATCAGCTAGCATAAAGTTGTGATCACTGTTAGAAAAAAGCTGTCTCTGCTGAGGACACGAGATGCTGGATAGCAGCTTCTTTCCTTGCACGTTGCCTTTCTGTAAGAGAACTGCTGTATTGCTAATAGTATGTAAACATTACAGTATTATCTTCGAAATAATTGTGAGGTCAAATGCTTTGACTTGAAGACTTCTGTTTCGTGTTTAGGTCAATCGAATTCTAAAAGTTGCAAAACCCAATATTGTGGTCATGAAGCTGCTGGCTGGAGGCCATAAGAAAGACTCTAAGGTAAGGAAATGCCAGCATAATTGAATATAAAATGTAGTAATACATAAAGGTTGGGTTCAATGATTGGGAGATTTCCCAACATCAGTAGTCAATCTAATTCTATGTAAAGCCACCACAGATCACTTGAAAGCCAAATGATCACATTCTAAGAACAGGGAAAGTAACTTGATATATTTTCCCCCTGGAAATAGTTTGTTGTAGTTTAAATATGGAAAATTCTAACCTATAAATGTTTTGAGAAAAAAAAAAAGGAAATGCATGTGGGACAACAAAGACTAATAAGGGTATTCCTCAATAGTGGGAACAAGCAAGTGTAACAGCAGCTTGTGTGAACAAAGTCATGAGAGTGCTGGCTAAAACAAGGACTATTTTTTTTCAAGCTGTTGCTTTTTAATTTTTTTTTTTCAGTCTGCAGTTTGTTTTCATTGTGAGTATTAAATGCAGTAGTACTGCTGTCTAATGTTTCAAACCTTTTCTTTATAGGTTCCTCCAGAATTTGACTTCTCTCCTCATAAATACTTCCCAGTTGTGAAGCTTGTTTGAAGGACAAGAGATTTTCATTAGGATACCTGAAGAATACCTGTGTAGCAGATACCAGCTCTAGGAAAGGGAGTAACTAGTGCTGTACTCCAACTACGAGGGACATCCAGGATAAAAGTACTGTTATGTGGAATATCTGTAGTCTGCTGCCTTTATGTGATTTGAATGACAACTGCTGTTTTAAAGTGGTTTTTATTGGATTTTGTGCGTGAAGCTGATTTTAATCAACTGTATTATTAAAGAACATTTTATCTTAGTTGATATTATTACAGATTTTGATCATAAATAATTGTTACTACTGCGTTCTTAGAAAGTGGTGGGTTAGGAACTGAATAAAAATCCTGTAATAGAGACTCGTGTCTGATGTGCACAGCAGAACTACTGCACTTCTGCATTTAACAAAGTCACTTGAAGAGATTTTGAGTTTCTGTAGTTTTGCTTAATTGTATCAGAATTGCTCACTTTGCAAGTAGAGAAATGTTGGGAATTTTTTCTCACCACATCCTCCAAGCTAAAATGATCTTTATAGAGATCGAGAGCAGATGCAAATTAGCCATTTAGCTATTGAGTGAGTGATTCCTAGTTGGAATTTGTTCCTTTGTCTTTGTTCTCAATGTACTGGAGAATCTGCACAGCAAACACTGCAGTAGTCACTAGCAGTAGCGCCAGACACTGAGGACTCTATTACCAATTCTGCAACTTTGTTACAATCCTAGTATTTGCTCTTGCAAACAAGGGATTGCTACACTTGCATGATCTTTATTCTCCGTTTTTGACTGCATTAGGGCCGCTGGATCCTACTGTGTTCTGTAGTAACAGGGAAAAAATTTCCAAAACAAGAGAAGCCCCAAACCTATCCTTTTCCTTCATGGAATAGTTCTGCCTTCCAAGCTCTCAGATGTGAAATAACAGAGGTAAGCCGTTGTGTTGTAGCAAAAGAGCAACCTTTTGCTACAAGCAAGGAAAAAAATGTTTAAAAAGCAGACCTGGCCCTGGCCAAGTCACATCTAGGCCATATAAGCAAATCCTTTGTTGGACAGGAAAATTCTACATTTTGGTGTACGGTGACTTCCACCATAGGAATGAGTCTGTAAGTCCATATTGGCCATACAAGACATTTTTTGGTGTTAATCCTATCACCTGATTTTACTGTGGATTAGTATCACTTCAGCTTCATCCCCTGAGCAGCAGCACTGCCAAGCTAGAGCTTGAAAACAATGAGTAACCTCTGAAGTGGAACACCCACTTGTCTTCCAGCAATTTGCAGCTTCCTGAAATAATCAAAGTACTGTCCTGAAGACATGTGTTTTCCAAATTCTCTGCTAAGGAGATGGCATATCACATTACATGTTTGCTCATCATCATGATTAATATACTTGAATGCTTCCATATAGCTGCCAAAGGAATAAAAAGCCTGGAATTTGTAAATGTAAAATGGCACAGGGCATTCACCTAGCTTCTTGTAAAGCCACAAAATCTTTCCCATCTTTAAGATCCTGAACTACATGACAGGAGCTCAAAGACAGCCTTTTGTTATTCTCCAAAGAAAGCAGCAAGTAAAAGAGAAAGCAAATTACATGTGATCTGTGGAACTACAAAAATAGCAGTAATAATAATAATATTTCCCCTTTTCATTACAATTAGAACTGGATAAATTTTACAGAATAACATCAATACACTAGAGAAGATTACTTTTAAATGCTTACCTAAAATGAATCTGGTTTAGTTGTAAAGAAAACCAAACCAAAGTGCTAATTAAGATGATTAAAGACAAGTAGTAATGCCTCGCACAACTAAAAACTTCAGTGAGAGACAACACTATGTACACCACAGTTCCAAATTAATTTCTTGTTCAGCTAAAGGTCCTTTAATTCTAAAATTCTATATGGCAGACATACAAGCCTCTTGCCTTCTAGAAATCTACTACGTGAGTTAGATTGAAGCACTTGAAGTCATTGTGAATAAAAGTGTAATCCTTCATGCTTTTGAACATTGCTTTATATGCAGGTTTTCAGACCCTTTGCTCTCAGAGTTTTACAAGTATGCTTTGTACAGAGGTGGCCGTATTTATGGAGGACAACATCCAGTGGGGTAGGAGAATGTAAAATGTAAAAAAATGTACAAAAGCATAGCCAAAACAGTTTTAAAATAACTCTCTGGCAATATATTAATTACCCTAAAGTGTTTGATGCTTTGGAATTTTTAACTTGATACTGGTAAAGCTATTCATTCAACTTGAATATAGTGTTTCACTGTCTATTTTTTACTGTTAGAATATATGCTTTTTAACAATCAATATTAAATTCCTGAATCAACTTAAATCTCAGTTGCATAATTGTTTACAGATTAAGTCCTAGGAAAATGCTCAGAAGATGGGTAAATATTTTTATCCAAATTATGGGTAAACACTTTGATATTAAAGTTGATGGTGTTGTCATAATTAGCAAAAAAAAATCCCAGTAACCAGTTTCCCAATACTTGTCAGAACAGATGCTCACTCCTCTTCTCTCCCGCTTACAAGCATTTGTTTTCCCTGCAGTGTTGACTGTAGTAGCCCAGATCAGTTAGGTCTTACTAAAATGGTGAAAAACTGTTAGTGAACTGCTTCTGTGTTTAGGCTTAATAGGCATAATTTACCTTCAACTCTGACCTTCACTTGATGACAACTAATACTCTTTTCATACACAAAAGAGCCAGCCTTCCACTTGCATGTTTAGATACCTTAAGGTACAGCAGCTATAAACTAGTACACTGAAGAAGGACACACTGGAAAAGGAGTTACAAAGTGAAGTGCTTTAACAGAAAGAACGATAATTTGTGTTTTCTTAAATGTAATGCTGGTTGGCAAGTTAGTCACGGCTGTCTGCTGCCGTGCTGTCTTGACAGAGTTTGGTTCATACTCACCAAGAATGCTCCAGACACAGATGTTGGTCTTGGGAGCAGACTCAAATATAAAAATTTCTTCAAACCAGCTGCCTATACGTGGTGGTTGGACTGCAGTTAAGGGTGCCTTAGTCGTAAGTAGAGTGTATTTCTAACTTATGGCAAGGAAACTAGTTTTTAGTTTACATTTAGCAAGTTACAGAAAAGAAAAAGACTGCAGAACATTAACAAGATGATACAATATGATTAACATAAGACTTCACAACAACTAAAGCTTTATCTGTGAAGACACTGCCCTGTCTTCTAAATGCATAGTCTGGTTACCTCTGTAGAAGTCCAGCAGAGATTAGTCACGTTGAACAGCTGAGACTGCTGTTTTACAAGGCAAGCATTTGCATTCCTGTTTTCACAGAAGACAGTGGCTGACTGGAGTAAACACTAGTTGTAGTACACCATTTCAGAGGCATTCTGTCATGAAAAGTTTATGAGTTTTCATTTTTACACTTAACTTGTGCAGGGTAATGGTAACCAAATTGTAGTACTTACCTTGTGGAATCCAACAAAGCTTTCAGAAAAATCTTCCTGGCTAATCTCTTAAAAAGAAGCTGCTATAATCAGAATCCTTTTTGTATTTTTTTAACTTTGAAGCTAAGAATACATCTCGAGAGTGTAATTTAGGAATTTAATTTAGAGGCCCAGGTCCATGTATCATTCTGCATAGTACCTGAGGACTACAGTTGTGCTTTCTCAGTCTGTGTTGCAGTAAGAAGGTGCCAGAAGAGGCACAAGGGTAATTTGCAGCATGGACTGGTTTTCATCCTTCCTGTGTTTTGTTACAGTAACAGCTCCTTCTTAAATTCTTAAAACTAAGCTGGGAAGATTTCTCTACTGTGCATTGCTCAGGGGAGAGATAGATCCATCCTTGGCAGAGGACTACTCATCATATACCACCCATCCACAGTTACTGTAATAGGACTGTACAAAGTAGCCAACTTCGAAGTTATTATCTTTATTGCTACCTGATTGCAATTTTATAACTGATAGGAAGGAGAAAGTCATTGCAGAGGCCAAACCACTTTGAAACAAACCACCAGGGATTTACATCTTTTCCCCACTGCAACAGTACTAAAACTTCACAAGAAAATACTACTTTGTTTGGGCCTGTAGTCAAGTCTTTAGAAGATAATCAAAATCTTCTAGGATCACTTCACTTGGATCATTGCTGCATTTGGATGAAGAGGTGACTCAGTTGCATCATGAACTTCCTTTGTTCACAACTTCTGTTGTCCATCATGGTCAGGTAAGTGGTTCTTCATATCTTCAGGGTTTTGAACTGAGAAAAAAAAAAGATATAGAAATCTCTTTATGAGGCAGAAGTTCTTAATCTAGAAAACAAAAAATTTTGTAAGGACTGTTAAATACTGTGTAGTAAAATTATAGATACCACAGCCCCCATTAAGGAGTAGGTTCAGTGGTCCTATACCGAAAATAGGTCACAATGTAAACATGAACGTTCAAAAAAGACATTAACTAGGTATAGCTTGCTACAGGATACCATGTAAAATATCTTAACATTTTCAGTATGTGATATTTAGGTTAAAAGTAGGGGGGGTTTACCATTTTCAATCCCTGCAAGAGCTGCTTGCTTATCTGTTTCTGATTCAACTTCATTCACATCTAAATTGTAATCAACATCCTTGTCCTGGTTCACTTCTTCACGTTCCTGTTTGTCTGGAAGAAGATTAAGTAGTTTTATGCTATACCATAAGGTCATCTGCACAAAAAAAGAGTGATTGTAAACATCTTCCACAGAATTACTTTGCTATTGAATGAATGGTGTTTGAGTAAGTTTTTATATTATTTTTCCTTTGAAGTGTTAATTTTCAGAGCAACTTTGGCTGTAAATCCTGTCAAAAGAACTAGACAGAAAACAATATTTTGGGATTTGGAAAGCATAGCAAAATCAGCTAGCACTCTGATGAACATAAAGAGTATTAGACAATTTCAGAATACGTTACAGGACAACCTGAGGAAGAGCAAAATCTGAAGCCATTCCTCAAAACCCCTTGTTGTTTTAGCTTGTCCAGCAAGCAGAATGCTATAAACTATAGTACTTTTCTCCTACAAGAGATTTTCTTCATTCAGTCATTAACTCCTCTCAAGGAACATTTACTGACTGTCATAAGATTTCTTTAGACTGAGGACTCAGACATAAATGGAAACATTTCTGATTGCCAGAAGACTATCATTATTTTTCAAATAATCAACCAGAAAAAAAAGTAACAGAAAAGACGTGTAAGCAAACCTCACTTAAGATAGATCATAGCCTCTGTTCTAAATGTTCTGAAGACAAGACTTCCAGTTAGTAAGTGACTAAGAAAGAGGGCTGAAAATTGTAAGCCATGTTCAGACCACCATATCAAATATATTTCTATTGTTAGAGACCTAAAGATCTGAAAATTTCAGAAGCCACTCTTCTTGAAAGAGGATGCCCATAGACTACTGAAGAAGTCTTTCTACCTTAAGCTCCTTTGGCTACAAGGAACCTATGCAGTAAAGTTGAGCAATAAAGCCTGAGAGTATCCTCCTAACCTTTTTAGCTGACAGAAATGAGGACCTTTGAAGCAGAGCTTTCAAGGGCATGGAGGAGATTTTTCCTTGCACTAACTGTTGGATGATTTTGTTTTTATCTATCCTTTCTGCTCTTTATTTCTGTCAAAATGAAAGCAGTTTAGGTAACTTGTAATTACATCTCTTAGCCTGCTCTGGCCAGCATCTTTTTGGACCAGTTGGAAAAATACTGCTTTAATGCCGTTGAGATTATTGTTGCCAAGTTAGCAACAATGTTGACACTGCAACTTACAATTCTAAGGCTGTGTTTACTAGAAAAGCATAAACAGCATTTTTGTGGGCATCAATTCTTGCTCTGCCATAAGGCTTCCTTTTAATTACTTGGGCTACTGAGTCAGAGCTTCAAGTCAGAGGAATGTCTAGATATCAGTCAGGTTTAGACACCACATTAATACTCTGCTGCTCAGTGCTGTTGAGCTGTGTAGTTCAGGGTCACCTGATAGATGCCAGAAACTGGCACCTTTACAATATCTGATCCATGTTTTTGAAGACTCACAACACTAAACTTCAGATATCTGAAGTCTGAGTTACCAGTTTTACTCATGGTAGCTTCTTTTGAAATAGGAATAGCTAGTATTCACACATTGACATTGTAAAAAGACTAACTGCAAAACATCCATGCTTGAGTAACCCTCTACTCATCAGTGCTTTGGATGATTAACATACCATCCTTTTCAGATGCATCACATTCTTTTAAAGCTGCAATACAATAAAGTTTTGGGCTGAATTTCCCTAAACACTTTGTGGAGCCAGTGGAAAGACAGTAGGGCTGTTATGATGTGGGACACATATTGAGAAAGTAAGAAAATTACAGCCTGAAAAATATTCCAGGCTGGAGCTTTTCAGCTCTGTTCCCAGCCGATAAGCTGGGCCAGCTCAAGGCTAGGGAGAATTTCTCCCAGGGTGATAATTTGGCCAAAATAAAAAGGAGGTAATAACAAAGATAGAACACCTGTTGTGGTGTGTGACCAGGCCCTGGGAATGGGGTGTCTTCTCTCTGAACCAATCACCTTTTCTCTACTCTTGGAATTGCGAGTCATGCTATAAAACCAAGTGTGTTTCTGAATAAACTTGTGTCTTTCTTCCTGTCACGAAAGATGACCATGTAGCTGTGCATCTTATTTCCGCTGCACTTAAAGGGTTAAAACCCCATTCCACTGCTACATTATGGTGATGCAGAGGAACTCAGCCTGGCAGCTTTGTGTTGCACAATCAGAAGCCTACATCCTAACTCGTGGACTGCAGCAGATTGCTCGGGACTGACACCTTCCACATCACACTGACCTTTATGAAAACTTGTACTAGGTCTGTCCAGCTTCCACCACTGTTGTAGAAATCATGCCCTATTCCACGCTTTCATTTATTTACTTTTTTGTTACTGTTTTTAAGAATACATGACATGCTACAAACCAGCCTTTCCAGGGGGCAAATCATCCTGCTTATCATCGTAATTTAGGAGCTCTTCCCTCTCTATTTCCTCACTGGCAGCTTGCTCTGCTGCTGGCTCTAACATATCTTGCCCAGCTACACGTTTCTCATCTTCAGGTGGATTTGGCTCCTTCTCTGACTCAGGCAGCATCTCCTTGTGATCTGCAGTAGCCTTGAGTGACTCTTGAGGTTTTTCCAACTGACTAGAAAGCTGCTCCTCTTCTGCCTTAGGCTCCTGTTTTCTGATGTCGGTTAGGCTGTCTGTTCTTTCTGAAAAAAACAAAAATGATTCTGAGTGGAAAAAATAATGCCCTCCAGCATGGCAAAAGTTTAAAACGTTTAATAAATAATTATCAATATTTAATTTTAATAAATAGTAATAACTAATTATTAATACTAATTATTATAATATAATTATAATTATTTTATAATTATAATAAATTCTATAATTAATAATTCTTAATATAGATTGATGAATAGTAATTAAATATTAATTATTACTATTTAATTTAAATGATTATTAATATTATCATAATTATTATTTTTTATTTCTCACTAAATTCTTGGTTTTCCTCTGAAAGAATGTCTTCTAATCACATCAGTTCCAGAGATAAGAAGACAACTCATGTTTTTCGTACTGGGAACAGCTAAAGAAGAGAACTTCATTTACTGTCAACAGCTTCATGCTTTTACATCCTTAAAATTTTGGTACATGGGGTTAATAAACTGGGCAAGTGAAACGGAGAAATTTAAATAAAAATTGTGGTGTCCTATATAAGCATCAGGTTTCTGTGTGTTACATCTTATTACCAACAATAAAATGGATTTAGTGTTCAAAAGTAGCTCAGGACAAAGGATCACAGAACGAGATTTGCAACTATCCAAGTCTGTTCTTATTTTTAAACATCAAGAAGGAAGTGCAGGACTGCTATAATTTTTAGTTGACATTAACATATATCTTTTTTCTCATGCATCTGCATTTTAATTTTAAGAAACTCATGAAATTTTCTGAATTAAACTATATGTAGACACTGTAAGAATTTAATTTCTATCACACACACTACTATGCAGAACAGACACACGAGGATACATCTGCAGACACACTGTTAGAGACCTAGAAAAATTACAGCCAGGAAAATCATTCCCAGGCTGGAGTTTCTCCTGGTTCTCTCACAGATCCGTTCCCAAGCTGACAGCTTGTTCAGCTCTCCCAGGATGATAATTTGGTCAAAATAGAATCGAATTAATAAGATTAGATTAATACCTGGTGCCAACCGTGGGACCCATTCTGAAGTACTGTCCCAGAGGTGTTTTCTCAATTATCCAATGAGCTACTGTCTTGTCTTAGCTCTGTGGAACATGCTATAAGTACAGATTGTGCTCTCAATAAAATGCCTTCTTTCCCTAAGAAGGTCTGTGTGTGTTGCTGTCATTGCTCTCTCTCTTTAGCCCAGTAACCACATACATCCACTCAAATTAATAGTTTCTGAAGTTTAGTGTCAAAAGGAACCACGAGGCTAACAACCTAAATCCATGTTTATCATTTCTCTTTCTTGCATTTGGCTCAATGACAACACATGGGAAGTATGGATGTGTGCTTGTTGTAAGCCTAACTTTCAGCTATTCCACGAAGAAGAGGGGTACCAGGCTGAGTATGTCAAACTTACTAAGAGAGCAAATTTTAAGTATGCTTGAAAACTATTCTGTCCAAAAGTTGGGTATTTTCTCCATATTAAATAAGGAATGTGACTCCAAAGTTGTAAATACTTCTCTTATCCGTTATGTGCAATGTACCTACTACAATAAAACTGAACAAACACAAATCCTAGCAAGTTTTCCTTCAGCTGGAAACCTGATTGATGTTCAGACTGTTGGTGTCAGTTTTTCCATCTTAATCTGGTGTAAAAAAAGGTTTCTAAATGTTCAGTTGAATTACAACCGTTCTTAACTAGTTGTTAGTGAGACAAGGATTTCCATCTCACCTTTAGCCTGCATCATGTCTGTCTCTCTTACTGTAGGTGCTGCTTTAGGAACATCTTCACTGGTTTTCTGCTGTTCCAAGTCAGCCTGCTTGAACCCTGTTTGCTTCAAGGCTGACAGTTGAGTATCGACCTATAAAGTGAACATACACAGGTAAGCACTGGTCTATATAACTGCACCTGGATTTGAAAAGGGAAGTAGAATTTAGATAAGAATTCTGCATGAGAAGAAGTCCTAACACACTCTGAAGTATTTGGACTGAAATGATTTATTGGTGATAGAAGTACTGTACAATTCTGAATATGCCGTAATGTTTCTATGTAACAGCATACCACATCAGGAGAATTTTAAGATATCTTATTTAATTGCAGCTAATGACAAGATTACTGTCCTTGGTTATTCTCAAGAGTGTTACAGAACAATAAAACCACATAGTTATCCACTGTTGTTCTGCTACTGTGTCAGGGTCAGTAGAGCAAATAAAGAGATGCCATTTACTATTACGTGCACAGGGCAGGAAAACCGAGTTTGGTCGTCATTAGACTTCACCTAAGTAAGGCTTGTATAGAACTGGTCTGTAACTATATTAAATGCAGGATTAAGAAAAGTGTAAATTAACCAACTAGAAAATAATACCTGTTTAACATGATGAAGCTTGCTTAACAATGTATTAAATTCTGGTGCTAGACTGCTATAAGCATCTGACCAACTTAGATATTAAGCCTAAGATGTACACCATCTTGAAGATCTTCCAACTGGGCAATTAAAATTCTATGTATGATTTCTACTTACTTGCATTGGCTCCCTCACATGGCCATGGTCTCTCCCTGTATGTCAATGTTGGCACGTTTGCCTACCTGAGGCCCCCCTCCATCTCCTCCCCATCTCTGGTCTAGTGGCTGGCAGTCCTGTGCTTGGTGCTGTCTCTGTCGGTAAATCCCCTCATCTACAGCATGGTGAACAGGCAGCTCAGGAATGCCATGTCACCAACTCTCCATAAATGACTCCTAGACCATATGAATTAAGTATTTGGGGGTGTAGGTTTGTACTGGACCTCTTGAGAGACACAGGACTCAACTTATGATTCACCATTAGTTCCAGGAGAAAATGGAAGATGGCCAGTGAACTGAGGGATATACCCAGGGGCTTTCACACAGGTGAAATTAAGAACACCCATCCTCTAGGAGGGCAATCTGGAGCTGCCTGTAGAGAATGCTGATTCTCCAGCTACAGTATGTTTCTGGAGTTGAGTGGAGGTAGAAGAGGTTTGAAAAGATGGGGTAGCCATGCTTCCCCTAATGTAACTCTATCACTCATATGGTACCCCTTGTAGCACCCAGGCTCTTCATGGTCAAGGCTCAAGCAGTCAGGACCTTGCTTGCCTTGGTATATGGAATTATTCTTTCCCCACTGTCATCTTAGAAACATTAAATGAGGATGCAAAGCCAGGACCAGTGGGGGATAAGCAAAGCTGAGCTGTTTGCAGATGAATTTATGAGAACAATCAAAAAGAAAGACTTGAGAGGAAAAGAAAACAAAATATACAGGCTCGGATATGGGATTACCAACCTGGCAGCCCAGCATCACTGACTTCAGTGGGACCAAGAAGCTACAGTTGATGGGTCCAAACAAATGTTGCTTACTTCCATGGTCACTGGAAACTGGAAAGCTCTCCCAGTCAACTTGATACATTACCATCACTGCTCTCTAGCACCACCCCAAAGGAGGTAGTTGTATCAAGGTGGGGGTCAGCTTCTCCTCCCAGATAACGAGACAGAACAATAGGAAATGGCCTCAAGTTGCCATTTCAAACCGGAAAAGGTTTAGATTGGACATTATGAAAATTTTCTTTTCTAAAAGGGTGGTCGGGCTTTTCCTGGAAGTTTGGAAAAGTTGTGCCACAAAAATGGCACATGGAGACATGGCTGAGTGGTAAACACAGCAATGTTGGGTTAATGGTTGGACTTAGAGGAAGATCTTAGACATCTTTTCTGATCTTAATGAGATTATGATTCTGTAACTGACATAGAGCTATGTCAATTCAATTCACACAAACACTGAAAATGGAACATGAAATACAGATGGGAGCCCATTTTGCTCTAAACCAGCTTGGTGAAAAAAACCCAGAGTGTTACAAAATCCCCATTTGTTCAGTGGGGATTTTTTGTTGCATTTTTATTTTTGTTTCTTTTGCAAAAGAAAATAAAGCCAAGTATGTAGAGAAAGAAAAAACATGCACACATTTAGAGATAAAAACCTCTTTGTGTCTGGTAGTTTATAAATGAATGGGCAATCTTATGGTATAGGAAGTCTCACAGTTGACAGAATTGTTTTCTGTTACCCATCGTCATTGGTACTGTCAAGACTAGCTTCCCATTTATCTAAGGAGGGCAGTGAAACTATGTTGTCAAATATTCATTCAGTCATTTGGAAAAATGACTGCAGAAAGAAGTAGCTAAGTCACCAAGAAGACAGAGTTGTAGCATGAATACTTGGCTATTTTGAAAAGCATTTAATTTCCATCAAAGCCAGGCAGAACATGACCTCTTTGTGTCAACACCATGAGGTCCAGTATCAGCAACTAATCTAGCATCAACTCTTACCAATACTTGATAAGCAAATGTTACTATAGAATATTTGGTTATTGCAATGAAGATGTTCAGAAGAACTCTATCTTCCTTCAATCAGTAAAACAAAAATGCTGAATTTAAATATGGTTCCGTTTTATAAATAATTCAGCTCCTTGAGATCACTCTACAGTAGAAATCACCAGAAACTGAATATAAGATCATTTTTCACTTTTTGTTTGGCATGAATTCTTCTGCAAAAATACTGAGCCTAGACTTAATAGCAAGAAGTTACCTCTTTAATTACACATGCAAAATCCTTTACTTATCTTAAATTTCTAGCCAAGTAATTCTTAATGTCAAATACATTCAAAGGGTATATGCTGATTTTTTTTAGGTTGAAACAGTTAGATAAAAAGATAGCAATTGAACATATTATATTTTCCTCAGCCAAGAAGTACACATCATTCCTCAAATTACAGATCTCTAAGTAAAGCTGTTTATAGAATCACAGAATCACAAGGTTGGAAGACACCTTAAGATCACCAAGTCCAACCCATGCCCTAACATCTCAACTAAATCATAACACCGAATTCCACATCCAATTTTTTTTTTTAACACGTCCAGGGATGATGACTCCACCACCTCCCTGGGCAGACCATTCCAGTACTTGATCACTCTTTCCATAAAAAACTTTTTCCTAATTATTAGCCAACATACAACCAACATACAACATAAAAACCAACATTCTGTTTTCTTTCTGTTTTAAGACAGACTTTCCTATTACATAAGCACATACATCTTAAAAATAGGAATTATTACAGCTTAAAACACTGGACAAAAACATACATAGACTTTGTCAGGGTAATCTTGCACTAACATAACATAAAACGAAGTACACTTTTATAAAAGCAAAAGGCTGAAATTCTTGGGCAAGCAAACAACAGAGAAAGTTACTGCTTGGCCAAAGAAACACTGCCACAGATACTAGGGAACACAAGCAGACAGAAATTATTTAGGCAGTAGCTGTATTATCTCAGATGAGTTCGCTCATCTGAGACCGTCCCATTTACACATAAGAAGGATAAGAAATAATCTGCCCAGCTTTACAGATAATCGGCTTTGAGTAAAAATTGCCTCCAACTATGCACTTTAGGAGACTGAAATTGTCCTGCAAAGGAGCTTCAGTCAAACTCCTCAGGTTGCTTCCAAGATGATTTATCTTCCAAACTGGAAATGGGAAAAGAACTCCAAAAAGGCAACAAACAAACACATACAAACAAATAAACAAAGAAAAGGAATCTAATGCAAGTAATTGTAACTAAAATCTGTTGCAAAGCCACACTAAAAGTTAACTTGAGCTCTATATTAGGGTCTTCCCTAGATCAACTTTCGTAAACAAGACACATCTGACTAACAGATGATCTCCAAATGATGAGGGCTCTTTTCACTTACAATTATATATTATTTACTTTTTATCTACTTATTTGATACTGTTGATAAAAACTATTGACAAGCTGTAACTTTTATTTTAAGGCATAATTGGATAGCACTTCCTGTTTCTAATGCTTCATTCAAGTTGCTCACATAGTTAGGTTCCCAAGATAAAAGGTCACACACTTCAATAGTTCTGTCTCCCATTTTATATAAAGGACGACACAGACCTGGGAATCTCTGGGCAGACAAGTCATCAGATTTAGTCTTTTCCTAGCTAAAGAAAAAAGGGTATACACTACAAAGCCCCCACTGTCTTTGTAATGATAGTAGGTAACCCAAGGTAAAGGGAAAGGCCCCACTGCAGTCACATGTAAAAAGTCTAACTTAACCTCTGTTTATTCAGTAATCCTGAAGAAAAGGCTATTTTGATACAGAAATAAACCGGGTGCCTTCTCACCCGAGAGTTTAATTGCCTCTTTCCAGGGCCGTCCATATCAAGCTTAACCAATCAAATCCTATGCTTGACTAAACCCCGCATCAATGAAGAAGCATCAATAAATCACATGCCAAAATAACAAGATGAACTGAAATTTCCTTTTCTCAGGATTTTCTGCCACCCTCTGCATCCCAGGAGAAAAAGCCAGCTGACATAGCCAACCTATTTCAGAGCCTGCCCTCCCCTAGTGAGCCTTTCAATAGGTTCAGCAAAGAATGTGTGATTCTTTGGCTCAGAATATCCAACAGCTGAGATATCTGATTATCCCTTTATTCCTACAGTAAAATGCTGACATAAAGGACTTCTGTGAAAAGTCACAGCTGATGAACCTTGTACTACAATATTCAGGTTTGCTGCTTCTCTGAAGTGATTCAAAATTTATCCTCACCCTTAAGACACAAAGCAACTAAGTTCTTTAAAGTTTAGTCGTGCAAACGTTCCTTAATGGATCCCATACTGCTTCCAGCATCATTTCTCAAATTCTGCCCATCTCAGAGACACAGTGATTTGGAGTCTTCTACAGGACATTTCCTTGTTCTGTCCTTGAAATCACCCCATTTCCCATAGATCAGAAACATAGAACAAATACTGAAGTAGTGAAAAATTTAATGGGAGATGGGGTAATGCTTATAGGAGACAGCAGAAAGGTGAAGAAACACTTAAGAATTACAAAGAAAGTATTTTCAAGAAATTTTCCAAACCATACCTGGCTATCTTCTGTGAAGTCTTTGTGTTCTTTGATTTGTGGTACATCACTACTCTTTTTTGTAAGCTCACCTATCCTTTCTTCACATTGTTCTTTTAATTCTTTCATCTGATTGATACACTGCGACCTGAAAAAAATATGAACAAGATGTTTAACTCTCATCTAGACTCTTCTATAACGTACTTTTGTAAAATTATCCAACTTTTCATATATCTATTTTTTTCTTTACTTTTTATTATTTCCTTCATTATACTACCTGGGCTTACATTTGAGAAATCACTAGGAAACAATGAGGCCTTGACTTAAATCCTAAGGACAAATTCATAGTGCAGGCATGCATTCTTTCTTCTATTGGAAGAAATTAATTTAAACTACTTTTGTTTGACTAGATCAACAAGCTATATGACTTTTTTTCTTTGTGTCTTTGCTAACCAGTAAAGTCCAGTAAGGTAAAATCAATTTTGATCCTTGAAGCATTCATATTTTGATTTTAGCCAGCAAGTGGAAACAGAAAAGTACAGCTGAAATAGAAAACAGATGTAATCTACTGTTACTAAACTGAACGCTCTTCCTCAGTATTTCAGCAAAATGCAGTGCTGCAAGATGTAACAAAATGTATGTTACAGAAATTGAGTTAAGTAGTAGCTACTATAAGTTCCAGAAGGAATATATCCTAAAGATGCAAGCACTGTATCTTTTACATACTTTAATAGTTAGACAGCACCATTAGCATCTTAATCTTTGTGACAGTAGTCTTCTATCTGCATCTGTGCAGCCTGCCTTTCCCTCACAGCTCCCTAAACTCCTACGTCAGGTCTGCTGTATGCAGCAGTGTTTTTCCTAAAGCTGCCAGAGCAGTGTTCTCCCGTTCTAAGAATGTGCTGGGGATCCTGTGCAAAGCCCAGGAGTTTTGTCAATCTCAGTTTCTCAGGGAAGGTGGCTGCAGACAGGGCAAGATTATCCTTTCTCTCCCACTCTCTTCATAAGTCGTTTTACAGCTTTTGGTTTTTATCAGAGGAAGAACAAGACCTAGTGAATAGCAAACCAAGATAAACATTACCACCAACATGGGTGATAAACCTCCAAGTTTTCCAAAGGCAGACTAACTACATCTGTCTTGAATCACTTCCCTGCACGTGTATATCAATCCAGTGCCTAACGGGTGTTCCTCTCATGACTGTCCAGCAGATAGATATATTTGTGCAATATACAGATCTATTTATTCCTGCTGATCTTAGACTTAAAAGGAAGACAGACACTGGCAAACAGATTCACTGATTAGCACAGAACTATCAACAGAAGTCCATGAGTCTCAGGTCTGTCATTTAACTAAACAGCAAACAGTTTTTGGTACCATGGTACACAACAAACACAGAGAGGTAAAAGCCCCTTAACAGATATATAAGCAGCACAGCTTATTGAAAGGCAGGCACATACTTTCCAACTTTGTTCTACTTTGCTGTTAGAAATCTTAAATTACAGCTCCATTAATATAATCCATCTAGGTCATCTTTATTACATGAGTAATAATCCAAAAAAGATCACAACCACCTGGTAATCAATAAATATCACAGAAGTAGTAATATTAATCCTTAATTCTAATGTCAAGGAAACACAAAAAGAAAAAAATACTTACTTCAAGTGTAGCCTGCAAAATTCAAGTTCTTTGACTGTCATGTTCCACTTTTAGTCATAATTCCTACAAAACCTGGCTAAAGAATGGCTGCTGAAAAACCACCTATCACTACAAAAATTACATTCTTGATGGAATATAATTATGAGAACAAACACAAACAACAAATTCTATTGCTCTTTTGTATCTGTCCACAATGGGGAAGATACTAGAGGTTGTGAAGGCAGGTAGAGGAAACAAGAATATTATTGAGAGAAGAACTGAGGAGAAGTTCCTAGAAATACCAGAAATGTGTATTTAGTGTAAGGATACTATAAGTACTTCTGTTCAGTTTTCCATGCTTTAAAATTCAGTGGGAAACCTCAAGAAAAAGCCATGAATAGATATGTCATGTAAAGCAGAACATATGAGTCTCATAGTACCAGAAATTTCCAAGACTTTTTAACTCAATAAGGTGCAGCTTCTCATCAGGTATTCCCCTATCTTAATTCAAACTTTTTCACAGTTTAGGCTCTTACTGTTTCAATTTTCCCCCACAATTCTTAAGTGATAATATTGATACCTTTATCCTTCGTCCTTCCTGATGAAAGAACATCAAGAAATGTCTGGGCACAGAGATGAAAACACTAGGAAGTTTATGCACTTTTCCGAGATCAACTGTGAGCAACCGTGAGCAATTTTCGAAGATGTGTCAGATGTTACCTTCCCCTTAAAAACGTATATTTGCAAACAGAGCTATAGCTAACAAGGTACAAGAGTACCTTGGTTTATAACCAAGTCACCTATAATTTGGGAAGTCATCTTTCCTAAAGAACATACTTACAGGTCATATGAGAACTTCCTCTGAAGGTTAGTCTGGTTCTTCTGAAACCAGTAAACATCCAGCTGTAGCTTTCCATATTCTGTCTGTAACTCTTTCAAGTGTTCTGGTCAAAGCAGGATTAAAATACACATATATGTACATATTCTACAACACAAACGTCAAGAAACAAATCTACAATAAGAATGCTAAATTAATTCATCTGTCATGCAAACTACATTTCGTTCACAAATGCATAGATAATTGTTACATTTATTCAACAAGAGTGCACAGGATCTGGTAAGAATAACCTTTCAGCATAATATATTAGCAAAAACAGTATAATGCATATTTTTACCTACTTTTCCTCTAAAGGAATACAAAACAGATTTGCAAACCCTGATAAGTTGCAGTCTGGAAAATCCTTCTATGAAATCATAATCAGAACACAATATGAAACAGCATTCACATTTATCAGTCATATACAGACAAGCTTGCAATGCTTCCCTGAATAATATGTAATTTATAGCCATGTTCCGTAGCAAAAGAGGCATCTGTGGTTTAGAGCTTCCTTCCTGATAGAAACCTTTGTGAGAGAGCAGCAGAAGACAATACCACAACACTCACACTTCTTAGTAGGATTAATTCCCAAGAACCTCCAGAGGAATACACTGCTAACAACAATTTTGAAGCACTGCCATGAATAGAAATGAATTAGACTGATTTTTCTTATTTACAATAGGATTTATGAATTCCTCTGGTGCTAAAATGCAAGACTCCACATCTCAGGGAAGAATGTAAGAATATGTTGCCAGGTAAAATTAAGAAAAAATGCATTAACTTAGTTCTATTCCGTATTGCATCGTAAGAGTCACGAGTACTACATCAAACACGACATGGACAAATCCTCCTACTATTGGGGCAGATTAGTCTGATACTTAACTGGAGCTATGCAGAAGAAGTATCTAAGTCATGGCAGCTCCTGTACCACACCCATAACTTGAGAAAGGCAGCATTCTCAACAGACCACAGAAAAATGCAAGTCTTAAAAAGAGAGGGCCTAAAAGTCAATATGAGAGAGATACACGGGGTACTACAACCATACCTCGTAGGCTCTGAATCAGTCGATCATTTACTGTGATGTTATTCATCAGCACTGCCTGAAAGAAGAACAAAAAACAGTATTTTAATTGTGAAGGACCTGTATTACCATTATAAACAACACCTATTAAAGCACTTGTAATAAGATCTACTTTTTGCATGTCACAGTTGTAACAGTGTCACAGTTGAACAAAACCTTTTAGCTGCTTAGAGATCTCCTATCACAAACAGCATTCATTTTAACATAGATTTTCCAGTAAGGGGGAATGGGAGAAGGTATGACTGCAGAAATAAAAGGAGGAAGAATTTAAAGTAATTTAAAGACACTAAAATTGCTTGTAACTTTATTCTAATTTAATCTCACGACTGGAGTCACAGTCAGACTTACTGTTATTTATCTCTTGAAGGAAGAATACAACATCACAGCTCACTACAAATTACCCTCTCACTCAGGAATCAATATACCTACATTCAGGCATGCAAAGATGAGCTATGAAAGCATTAATCATTCAGCATTAAGCAACTCCAAGAAAGCAAGGTGAAGCCCTTGCACTGTATATCCCTTTTCTCCCTATCTTCTTGATTGCTTTCATGTTGGAGTGGCATCCTTCCACTCCCTCACTTTGTTCTCCCTCTCATTCTGAAGAGGTAGTCAACACAAGAACATGTTTCGTCTATTCTTTTATCAAACTCCATCTACCATTTCATATACACACATACCTCAAAACACCTGAAAGCTGAATCAAGTCATGGCTAAGTGAAATTATTCCTGTGAGCCAGATGTCAGGATAACTCAGGTTCATATTCAATATTTATCAAATCTGATGCAGAAGAGTTCTTAAGAACACAAAAAAGAGATCCAGTGACTCTTAAGAAACATCCCAGTCTAGTCTTAGGAAGGTATTTCTCAGGCTCCATTGTCAGTTCCCCTATTATCCATGTCCTGGGAAACTTCAGGGTTCTTCAAGGGTCCCAGAAAATCAACTCCCTTGTTTCCCAAAGTTTCTGCTCTAGCATTGATATGCGTATATGTCCACACCTGAAAAGAAGTAACAGTATCCCACTCTGTCTGCCCAAGTCACCCTGAAACATTGACAGCATTGTCGGTGCCTTTCTTCCCAAAGGCTACAGTAACAGAGCCAGTTGATTAGGTGAAGTGCAGCATTCAATAAATCTGAGTGGGCTAGCACCCAGTAGAGTAGTTTTGCCTCTGAAAGACCCTTTAAAAAGAATCCTGCTTCACAGAGATGGTCATTCCGCTGTTGCTAAGTATTTGTACACCATTCTATATGTACAGCTGTTCTGTGAACACCACCATGAAACCTCAAGAAAAAACTCCTTTATTAAAAAGGAAAAAAACTCAAAAAGCAGTAACAACTTACACGTATGATTGTTTAAATTCTCCCTCTCCTTTTTCATAGGCCAAGTAAATAAAAAATGAATCTGTTTTCACTGGTTTATTGGGGAAAGGAAGTTAAATGTTTCAGTGGAAATTCCAAGTTTTGCTAATGTGTGGACAATGTAGTCAGGTTGTTGCAGGATTATTATCTTCAGGATAATACAGCATTTGCCATTACCAGAAACTGTCAGTGGACTAGAAAAATCAGTATGATACAGAATTTTATAATTTTATGTTCTTAAAGTTTTTTGTGGGTCTTTGTTGGTTTTGTTTCTTTTTTATGGTGAGGAGGGGGGGAAGACTGGGAGAGAATAGGGGGTGGGGGGCCGGGAGGTTCCTTAAAATGAAACTCCTAAATGCCAGGATCACTTATGTGACAGTAAAACATACAAGTGTTACATATTTTATACATTGGGACAACAATAACTGTGATTAGCTGAAGTAAAAAAAATTACTTTCCATGGTAAGAAAAGTCTCTTCAAATCACAACAGGGAAGAAAAGAAGTCTGCCTTGGTCTTTCTGGATTATATATAAAACTTTCTTTTGGCAAAGCCACACCTATCTCCTTGAATGTGTGCAAAAGTCCAGGCAAAAACCTGTTAAAATCTAGTTACCTGTTTAACTTGAGCAGGAAATACTGTTTAATAATTTACAGCACAGTACTGCAACTGCCAGCTTCCAAGCTGACTAAGTCAATAACATCAGGCCTTCCATTCTTCTTCCTATCATTCAAGTGTTAACTAATTTTTAAACTAATAACTGGGGTTTTATGCAGGTCAAAAATGAAAACTGCTGAGAAGCACTCAGCAGACACATGCCAATACTCAGTTCTAGAAAGAAACTCACATTTTAAACTTCATTCAGCCCACAGAACAATAGCTGTAATCCCCAGGAGCAAAAAATTCAGCTTTTGGAAAACCACTCTATCACCGTATCAAAGTCTGATATTCTGTGACACAGTAACTCTGTAATATAGAACCAGCTTATTCTATTTGTAAACATGTTTGCACAGAAATCCTTATCAGAGAAGGAAAAAAACCAGTCTTTTGATTGAAGATAATGCTGTGGACAGCAGGGCTTCAGACACTAAAGCTCAAAAATCACACTTCCACCAGCAGTATGGGAAACAAATTGCTCCAGCTGTACAGTAAATTTTTTTATGACAGCTGCCAAAGACTTGTTTGTTATTCACCACAGAACATGCCTACATAAGTCTTATTCCTCTTAAGAAACACACAGCTAAAATTTGTTTAAAAATAATAAAACATAACGCAGAAATATGCATGAGAAAGCTCTGAGATAAATTACTTGAAGTCTTTATTTTGAGCACATACTTTGAACTATGTAAATACATTTGATCTGAATAACGCCAAACAGTATTCTCCATACATATATTCCTTGGAATTCCTTACTACAGTAAATCCTCCAGCATTTGCTACTGTCAAGACTCAAGCTAACCCAAGCACACTGAACTGACATACGTGCTTTCTAACACTGACTGTATGTGGTGTATATAAAATGAGGTAAGATAATAATGAGATATTGGAACAGAAAAAAGAATGCAAATAGTTTGATAAGCATAAACACTAAAACTTAAGAAAAAAGGGAGTTTGCATTCACAAATATAGCACAAAGGAGACAAAGATAAGCCATAGGATCAGTAACTCAGCTGGTAAGAACAAAACCAACTGCGAATAAAGCAAGACGGGAAAGTAAGATTTATACATGCAAAACCAGCCATTTACAATTAATCAGGGAAAACCAGGGCACTTATTTCATTATTAACTCAAACTGATTTAAGTCCTTCCAGCAAAGAAAAAGAGCGGCTCTGTCTTGCATGCTCCTAAGACTCCCCACCACTATTCTGGCATTAGCATGAGAATGAATAAGGCTGGCAACAACTGATGTTTTAGTTACTGCTCAGTAGTGCTTACACTAAGGCAAGGATTTTCCCATGCTCTGCCAGCCAGCAGGTGCACAAGAAACCAGGAAGAAGCTCTGTCAGGTATCCCAAACTGGCCAAAGGGACATTCCATGCCACAGAACAGTGGGACATAAAGTGGAGGAGTTAGCCAGGAGGCATCTATAGCTGCTGGTGAACAAGTTGGGCATCATACCACAGGTGCTAAGCAACTGGATTGTGTGTGTTTTTCTAGGGTTTTATTCCTCTCAGTTATCAAACTTTCTTAACACAGAGTTTTCTTCAAAAATCTAGAGGGAGATGTGGGAAGTAAGTAAGTGGGTGCATGGTATTTAGTTGCCAGCTGGTGTTAAAACATGACAACTAACCACAAACAAGCTTTTTGGTTCCAGGACAAGAGACTAACAGCTAAACTACATATTAGAGTGTGGGGGGAAAGATGATAAATAAGATTTTTAAGGAAGTATTTCTCTTTAAGGTTAATCATTGTGCTGCACACTCATGTACACTTCAGTGGAGGCACATCAATTAGGTAAGCCTTACAACAAATTTCAAGCTCAAAATGAAGGAGATATTGTTCATTTAAATCTATTTCTCAATAAACTGGAATCTATTCAGAAATTGCATTTTTCCTCAATAAACATAAAAAACCCCACCCAATCAACAAAAGAACCCCAAACAAAACACAACCAACCAACTGAACAACCCACACACCCAACAAAACCCAAGCCCCCCAGAAAAACACCTCTATTTCTATAGTGGTCCATTCATTTAGCTGTGAAGAGGTAGCAACATTTCAGTAGTCAACTTTAAACTACATATACTCTAAATTCCTTCTCTCTAGCTAGCCTCAGGCATCCTTTTTTTTTCTCCACACCATGTGAAGATATATTTTGAATAGAGATGATCTTCTAGACCTCTGCTGTACCAGTTATGAGGATGCATAATGATTTCTATTGCTAATTTAGTAATATTGTACTATGGCAAATATGGGACATGAGGCAGTGCTTCCTTAACTCAAAGCTTTTCCAAAACTAGATGATCCAACATTGTTTGGGTTGGAAAAAAAAAATAAAAAAACTAAAACCAAAACACATACAGCCTTCAGTGAAAAGGAAAAGGTACCTTTCTACTCTCTCCTACAGACTACTGTAATTCCTTCTGAGTGGAGTCGACTCCCTGCATACCAATAAGTACTTTGTGTCAGAAGACTGTGCTGGAATTGAAATTTTCCCAGAGGGAGGGGACCAGAGAGCAGCTGTGGCCAGTGTTAAAAGATACTGAGCAACAGAACAGTGACATGCTTCACATAGAATGTACTAGTCCTTCTCAGTAAAACGGGATTTGGACTGGAGTAGATTTATGTAAATCAAAAGAAAATTACCAACTGCAAAATCATACTCATTCAGTTAAGAGGTATTGAGCATACTGTTGCTCTGTTAAGCTCTTCAAAGAGATTTCTGTGGCTCTGTACATCCCAGAAGCTACAAGTCCTGAGTAACACGCACAGAGAATATTGTTCTTTACAAAATTACAGATTAGAAACAGCCCTTTTGCACTCCTGAACTGTTGTTATCAAGTGTTACTGTAAGACTACTTGATCTCGTCATTCTACTTCTGTATGAATTTCCAGAAGCCATTTCCTAAATCTACACTAAAAATTCAAGCAGGTTTTTTAAAAGTAGACTGATGACAGTAGTGTTTTATACATACTCAGACCTAAGAAAATAATTACAGCAGCCATTTTCCAGAACTACACTGCCCCAGTGAATGGTAAGCCCACCATTATATACACTATATATACTACCTACCTTCTATGCCCTCATCCTTCAAGTAGCATAGAGACAGTTCTACTACAAAAGCAGGCAGATTTAACTCCAAGTAATTACTGCATTGCTAGTGACAATTATTTTAACTGGGCAAATATCTTACTGGTGTTTTGGTCTGGTATGAAAGCAAATCAGTAATATAATTATTCTGTATTTTTATCAGCAGAGTAATAAGACATAGTGAGCAGAAATGAACTGCAATTATGATAGGTCTTAAATGTTACTTGTGAGGTGCTTTTGATTAGAAGTCCAGATTTTGTAAGTATACCTCATATGAAAGTCTTTTTTACAGCCAAAAGAACCATAATTTCTTCCTGAAAAAGTGGGAGGTTTGAGATGGACAAATCATTCCTACACAACTGCTGAAAGCATTGGAATTTTTCTTTAAGAACAGCAAGAAAATCAAAGAAAAATCTCATTTATGCCTTGAAAAATCTCTAGTTAGTTATAGAGTTTGTAAAATGCTTGAAAAACTAGTTGAGAGTCTCAGGATTTAGATCTGCTTTCCTTCTTCCTGAGTAGGTAAATACTAGCTACTAATCCTCACAGAGTAAATAAAATTCAGTTCAAGGAGCAAGCTTCCTATAAGCAGAAAGGGTGAATTAATTACTTGCCTCCCAGGAAAACCAGATTCCACTGCAATCCATGGTGCCAAAAAACAAGGATATGGGTGTGTATACAAGATATGGACGTACAAAACGTATTTACACACGGATACAGATACACATAAATAAAAAAGCACTCAGAAACTTATATATATTTCACACCCCTCTGTAGAATAACCTCTGATCCTAGACAGCTTCTTCCAATAAAAGTCATTATCAGGGAGAATTAAGCTTTCCCTCTCTTCCCTGCCACCATACTGGAGGCATTCGTGAATTACAGTGGATGAATCTATGCCAATTTGGCTGATGTCTTCTTTTGACAAACGCACAGCTCTCCCTACTCTAAAGTCAGAGTTGGAAAACAAACAGCATCTCTGCAGGATATTTATTTGTGTGCCACAAGAAAAGCAAATTTTGAATTTGATGCAAAATGGTGCACAGGCATATACATGCTCACTCTACCACTTCAGGCTCCTAAGCGAGACACATGCTCTTCTCCAGTCACAAAATGCAGAAGACAGGAAATTAGTCCAGTGCACCACTTTCATAGGGTATCACTTCCTGGGGTTTCAAAGCAAGCTTTGAATAGACCATTTCATGACTGAACAACTGTATTTTAGGATGACAGAGGGAAAACCACTTAGGAGGAAGGAATTGCTACTAGATTGGTGCCAAAACCCACCTTTCTCAGCATCCCACCTCTAACACTGAAACGCCAAATGAATTCCAGGGCAGCCATAAAACACAGTATTTTCCAAGCCGTAGCTTCTTCTATCTGAGGAACGCTTGGAGACAGAACAAACACCTTGGTACTGGGTGGCGGGTTAGGTGTTTGTCCAAGGTCATCCAGTTCCTTTTGAGCCTGCACAAACCCATTGTAACTGGGTATTATGGATGACACACACTTGTGGCTTCACCACCTTCTGCATGAAGAGCACTACCTTCTGCTCAGTCTGAACTACAACTTGATGATGGCATTTGAAGCACATCAATCAATGCAGGACAACCCTGCCTTGTCTCCCCTAGCCACAAACATTTTCTGTACCATTTGGAATCCTGGAGATGATTGTGACAGCTCTCTTCTGCTGACTTGTCCAGCCTGTAAACCACATACCAGATTCTCATAGAAAATCTACTGCACAGCTTTGGTGACCTTTGCTCTCCTCTCTGTGCCTTTCACAGCACTCCAAAACACCACTGGTGACCTGCCCACAGTATAACAATTAACCCAGTGTATTTCTAAGCTGCTTTGTAACTTTTTCCATGTCATTCACCCTTCCAATACCACTGTCTTACCACACGGATGCATAATATCTCTACAAACCATTGCAACTCCAGGTGTAAATGTGCTCACTTGTCTCCCTCACCTTTATCTCTGACTCCTTCAGAAGAAAACTCCAAGGTACTTCAGAAGAAAGACTTTCTTTTCTAGAAGCCTAGAAATTTGACTTTTCCCCAGACACCACATTCCACCCCATGTCCAACAGCAGTTCTAGTTCTGTAAAGTACTTTTCACTACTTCTGGCACAGAGGCCACATTTTATGAACACTTCCTGTATGTCCTCCAGACTCAAAAACACCATAAGGAAAGTGGATTGTGTGGTGCCATCTACCATTCGTCTGATATCAGAAATTTGAAGCAAAAAGGTGGCACATTGTGCTTGGCAGAAGCAACATTTTATTCACCAAACTTCCTCAAAACTCCGGGATGAGGTCCTGTCACCATCTCTCAATATCTGCCCATCTTGCTAGCCTGTGTTATAAACTCTCTGGCCAGCCCTAGCAGTTTCAGTGCCTTTTAGTAACTCTGGTGATATCTACTCATGGAAAGGAAGCATAATACTGCATAACATTTGTCTTTTTCTTACCTTTGAATTTTTTTTCCCACTCATGCATGTGTTTTCACTCCCTGTAAGACTGAAGCAGAATGCAAGAAAATGCCACAGCATTCAGTAGCAATATCAAGTAACAGGAGGCAGAAGTGACAAGATTGATTACTCATTTGAATCCTGTCTGAATATTCTGAGATATCTTTTTTAAAAATGCATACATTGAAAAAACAATTAGACAAACTATACCTCATCTGTTTTAAAGTACATGCAAAGACTGAACACAAAGAGAAGAGAGAAATTATTAAGGAAACATGCTTACCTCAAAAGAGGTAAAAAGAATCGATTTATTATTTCCTTGACGACTTGGGGTAAAGATTACTTCAAAATAAATTAATGATATATGACATCGATGTGCACATTCTACCTTCTATTTTTACTCAATTTTTGTTCCTCTTTGTTCTTTAAATATTAATCTGGTGATATTTTGCTCAGGCAGCACATTTTGAGGAGCAACCATTCCCTCACAGTGAACCTGCTACCTGAAGAGTACCTATTACCATTACAAGATGTGCCTATTCAGTCTGCTGAACGTAATAGTCCTGGAAAGTTAATCTTATAAACTTCAGTCAAGAGACTCTACAGGAGAAGCAGTTGAATACTCTCAACTAAATACTTCCCTACTAACAGGGATAAAAGGGGTACTACTGGACTAAAAACTGCAATGAAAGCAGTATCAGCAACACAAGGAAAATACACAGTAAACTAGTTTGCAAGATGCTACACTGCCACATCGACTGGTGCTGTGCTTGAGACAGAAAACACGGCACTCTCTGATCCATGTGAAAAAAGCCTCTATTCTTCTGACTTCTCCTTAAAATACCTTTCTTAATGTTCCTGGGTAAGCGCCTGTGATTGGTTTCAAGTGCAGGCTGCTCAGCCCTCTGACCAATAGCCTGTGCAGCTTAGGCTGGAACTCATTGGGTCACATGCTTGTCTACCTCCAATTCTGTCCTATCTCTGTTCTCTGAGGGCCTGTCTATCAGGCCAGACCGCCTCTCCTATCTGTTGACAAATTCACTGCCCAGTGTAAGCAAGCTTGCACTGTGACACTATACAGCAGGAATCATACACAATGCTGTTAAGTAGTTTTTTTCACATTCTTCACAAAGGAATACCATCCCCCTGATAAAGCTGAACTGTCGGGAGCGCTGCCATGAAAGTCCTACCTTCTCGTATCTTCCCAATATTATTGGGTTTTGGAGGCAGAGAGCCAAGATGCCACAAAATTTGTAATGCATTTAGAAATAAACGTCAACCATTTATGCTTAAAAATATATTTGGGAATATATCTCTTGGTGCGTCTTCCTCTTTTTCGTAATTTTTAAAACATCAGTATACAGGAAAGAAAGCAAGGGGACAAACCAAGCATGGTAACGAGTTACAGAGAAGATAAGAGTTTTATTCAGAACTACTGTTACTTGCAGCTTCTAGTATTTCAAAGTTATACAGTAAATGCTAAAATGTCCATTCAAGGTCCATTTTCTCAATATCATACAATCATAAAATGTTTTGCCACATCAACATTGACTGTAAGCTGTAACACATGAGCATCACTTCTGTTGCAGAGTGTGTCTTGGTATACCACAGTCCCACAGAAAATTGTGGCTAGGAAAAGCCCTACCTTCTCTTCCTGATGTACTCTGTTGGCGTTTTCCATCTGAAAGCTGTGCAAGGACTGGATTTTGTCGATCTGCTGTCGCTGCTTCTCCAGTTCCCCTTGGAATTCATTCTTTTTTTGCTCCACAGCACCCCTCTCTGCTGCCGCCCTGCGGACTTTGCCTTCCAGATCCATGACTCGAGCCTGAGAAAGAGCAGATTAGCCAAACCAAACAGAAATGCTTCCCCCCTGCCAGGATCTTGTCCAATATATTCAAGGAATAGCAAATTTCACAGCTCTAACATGCTGATTTCACAGCTGATATCATGAACGTCCTGTGTCAGCCAGAGATACTAGTCATACGCACACACACCTCCCTAGTTTTATGTAAATTAACAGGACTGCGTGTTTTGTAAAGACTGTTAAAATATCAGTTAGAGATAAGAAAAATGAAAAGCTCAGTACTTGAGCTTAAAAAAACCCTAAGATATAAACATAAAAAAGATTAGACCCTACAATCTTTCTGCAGTCAAACTTTTTTTTTAATTTAGCCCATACAATTCTGACAGCTCTACACTTCTCAATGTTGACCCCAAACTAATTCAGTGTGAAAACTCAGCTCTCAAATCAATCTGATTTCCTGGAAGAGCTAGAGTAGAGGGAGGACAGCACTACCCAACTTTTACATGAACAATTCACATATGGCTATTACACAAAGACATACATGAGAAAAATTTATTCATAAACAGAAAATTATCGTTTTTCTTGACTGCTCGAAAAGCAGCTACAGTCAGAAGAAAACTCAACATCATAACATCCTGTACATACAAAGACATAACCTAAATCATCAAGCCTGATGTTTTCACATTCTTTCCTCCTCCCTCCATTTTTCGTAAGTACCAATTTAGTTTTGCAGAACATTGTTTCTAAATATTTTGGATTAAAATTGTTTCTCAGCAGCAACTAGGAATACAAAACATGCAAGGGGGTGGGGATATCAACAGAATCTACCCATATGAAGAAAGACCTGGTGATTCCTGGATTAAAAATTAGATATAATAAAAACTGTGCATGTTCCAAGACTCCAAGAAAAATGTACCGTATCTTCTTACATCACAGTATGCAGCATATCATGACCCACCTACCCTGCTTCTCTGCCACAGAAAGCAAGAAAAGGGAGAGGAGGCAGAGAAAAAAAAAGGAAAATTACGTGCAGTTTACCTAGAATAGCAAACAAAAGCATGCATTCCATTTCAGTCATAACAGCTGCAAAGTCTTGCCAACAAACAAATGGGTCTACAGAGTGCTTTAGAAGCTCCATCCATGATCAGCTATGCTTTTATTCCATTCAGAGTGAGTGACCATGCAAAACTAAAGTAATTTTCAGGCTAACTTTAGGAGAAATGTACAGGTGGTACAGTACATCAGTACTATCAGAGGACCTTGTGTTTCCAGGTTATTAAGACCAAGAAAAACTAGGATGGTAGCATATTTTTCTCACTATCAGCTTCTTCATGTCTGTGCAGCAAAACTTTAGCAGTATTGACTCAGTTACTACTCACTGGTAGCCACCATCGTGATGCCACTGACTAAAGGGAAAGCAAGGGATAACCAGAGCCTCAGAAGTCGTAAGACATACCCATAACAGCATGGCCAGACACAAGTCCTGTTTGAACAGTGCCTGTTCTGCGGTGAAACAGGAGGTCAGCTCCTTCAGCTGTCCCCTCAGTACTAAAATTTGCCTCAGTCACAAAGAGCATATAAATTCACCGGATAAACTGGGAAGGAGCTCTCATGAGCCACATTTAATCAACATTTGTTAGCTTTTAGGTTAGGTTGTTAAGAACAATAAGAAAAAGAGGGGAGAGAGGGGAAAAAATGGAGAGAGGAAAAGCACTGTCCTGGAGAGATTGTCACAAACCAGAAACTTGACTCACGTACTCTGTATCAGAACAAATGCTCCAGAAAGGACTAAAACCCAAGCTTTACAGCCACAAAAAATACAGTTATAATCAGAAAAATACAGTTATCATCACACAACTTGCATGACTTGCATGTCCTTCTGAAAGACCACTAAGAAAATTCAGATTTTTGTTTCTGAACAACCTAGATTTCCTTGTACTGAGTGGAAAAGTATGCATACAATATTATGGGTCATGTACAAAGACAAATCTAGGGATATGAATGTGCCAGTTTTGATTGGGATAGAGTTAGTTTTTTCACAGTGACTGGTATGGGGCTCTGTTTTGGATTTGTAATGAATACAGGGTTGATAATATAACAATGTTTTTGTTATTGCTGAGCAGGACCTGCAAAAGCCAAGGCCTTTTCACTTTGCATACTGCCACAATGGCGAGGAAGTTGGGGGTGCTTGGGAAGGGACAAAAAACAGAAAATGGCATTTGTCACATATTTAATGTGAAACAGCACAAGACAGCTGAATGTTTTGTGAGAGCAGAAGTAACAAATTATCACACATGCAGGTATGTTCAAGTTTTGGGTTCTTCTCAAATAGGCACTCCTCCCATCCCCCCCAGTCTCCCACTACTGATAAGCAATGACTGTAAAATCTGTGGAAGTTCCTATAAGCTGAAGTTCCTGACTTGCCACATGAAGGAGAACCATCCTTCTTATGTACTATATTTATTATTTGTACAAGTACAAAGTGACACACAGAGCAAAAGGAATGTTACCTGCAGATCCATGCTGCGAGAACTTGCAATCCAGTAATTGAAACCCAAAACAATTATGCACGCCACAAGTGCAGCCATGAGGAGTGGTGGAGACTTCATCCCACGACAGCTGTTTCCTAGTCCTACCATTTCAAGGAAAGATCAAATCCGAACAACCCCAGCAAGTATGGGAACCTGCAATATAAAAAGGGCACATTGTACTGCATCCTCAACCACAGCTATTTTATATGCACAATAAAACATTCTTTGCAATAATGCAACAGCTGTCAGCTGACAGGCTTACACCTAGCAAGGAAGGTAAATGCATTAGTATTGACTTGTCTAGATATTTCCATCTGAAAGACAAAGAAAGGTCATTGCATGCTATTAGCTTGTACATAAAGCTCCACATGGTTTTGAGGGGGATATCTTGAATACTCCTAACAATATAATGAAAATCTGCAACAAAGAAAACTAGCCATCCTTTTATCATACATCTACCCGAAAATCTATGTAGGCAACACTGGGCTAGAATATAGATTGCTTTTTACCTAATTTACTCAGAAAATTAATTTAGTCTTGCTGTTTGAGGAGTAATTTGCACTTTGCTCTCTAAAATTAGACAGTTTCAACTTATTCAATCTGACACTACTATTCTAACGTCTTGTTCCCAAGCTTGTAAATAAATACATAAATCAGATTGAACCAGAATCAGATTGATTCAAATTATTTAAAGGAAAATCTAAAAATAACAATTAATATAAATATGAGCAGACACTCCAATGATTTCAATGCTACACTGCGTTAAGTGTTCTCCATTTTCATCCTCAGCTGCTTTGTGTGCTCATACAGAAAACAAATAATGAATTAGTAGTACCAGGGATACCACTAGTTGTTATTGAGACTTGTGTTATTTCGGTGAAACAAGCCATCTTAAAAGACAGGCAGGAGCAAGGGTATTTGCAATTCTCTTTGAAATAGGCTACATTGATTTTATGATGTGGTAAAATCTGGTCTTAATAAGCCTAATGGCACCTAGCTTTCTGAATGCTCAAACTCCACTGGGAATCTTGGCTGCAGTTTATAGAAAATTGGTCCCTTGTAAACTGAGATTAATTTTTTTCTTTCTGCACTCCTGCAGACAAGAGACAGCAAAAATAAGCACAGAAGACCAGGCAGACAGCAAATACATATACATCACAAGATACTAGTTAAATCTAAAATGGGTACATTTACTAATAATATATTGTACAAGTGCTCAAGGTACATGCTCTTAAGCAAAGCAACCTCTTCCCTACTGTTGCAATGCACAGGTGGAAATGTTTTAAGTTAATAAATGACAGCAACTCTCAAAGGTTTTACAGGTGAATATACACTGCAAACAAAGAGAAAGAACATGATACCAGCACTTCACAGGTACCAGAAATGTGAATTTTACAGTACATCCAGCACTTAAGTCGTTCAATAGCTCACCTATACCTCAGTGTCCACGTGCATTCTCTGCAAAATTCCATCTTTGCAGTCAAGATAGATTATATCTTCTTCTCTTTTCTCAGCAGGCAGTGCACAATACTGCCAGATTCACAAAGGTTTCAAATCCGTGTTTATTTGAAAAATTTCCTAATTTGTATTTGAGGGCGGAACATACAGAGGATATAAGAGTAAAATGTAGCTTCCGGAAAATGTTGCCTCTTCATAAACACACACACCACAAAACAATCCAAAACAGTATGCAAAAAAGTCTAATACCTGAGACTTGAGTTTCTTGCCTAAAGGAAACCTCAGCTAAGGGACACATGCAGCACAGCTCCAGTGGACATCCACAGGGCAGACAGGGTCAACACTAAGAACCAAAGACATGGAAAGGGAACATACTTTTTTTTTTCTAGTAAAGCAAAAAATTAAGATGCAGTAGATTAGAGCAAAAACAGAGACATGCACAAATTTCCAATAGAAAGCTATGAATTGCAGAAACACATACATTTTGCACAGACTATTTTCCTACTGTGTCATCCTAGAAGGAGCACCTGAGAAGCACAGAGCCACCATGTCTTACACATGATCCCTGAAAACCAAGAATCCCATGTCTTCGAGTGACTGTATGATGCCTATATCCCCAAATCGTCTGTTCTGTTGGTGTTGAATATTAAATTCTGCAACTTTAAGACTGGTTCCAGGAGTAAAAGGTCGGGGGTGGAAGAAGAAGTGCAGAGTTTGTTATCAGAGACTGCACTGGCTCCCCTGCATTCCTGCACTCAGACTGTGTTGTCTGCGGTGAACAGTGAAAGAGAGCTCTCCTTTGCTCTTAGTTAGTTTTTTGGCTAGCTGAGGCAGAGAAACCCCCTGGATTGTTTTTTTCCCCCTTTTTCTGTTTTCCTGGAACTGTTTGAACTGAAAACCTGCTTTGAACTGAAAACCCAGAAGAGCACCATGAGCTCACACCTGTGGCCCACCAGGCCTGGCCTGGGCATTCCCCAGCACAGGAGGGACTGAGAACAGACTGAGAACAGACTGAGTGAGCCGGGCTGCCCACGGAAAGAACTCTTCTAAATCTGCCATCTCCTCGGAACGGCGAGGGGTTTTGCTGTTTGATATTGCTCATTGTTGCGCTGGGAGGTGTGTTGCCTGTTGAATAAACAGTTTTCTTTTTTCCACTTCTCTCCAATTTTTTTCCCTTTTTCCAGAAGGACCTCATTCAGAGGTTTCCTCCCAAATTTGCCCCAAACCAGGACACCCCAGATCTCCAGAGTAGCAAAAATGAGAGCACAAAGGGCATGATTAGCACTGCCATTTCAGCAAAGAACGAGAGAATTTATTTACTTTTGTGTACCAGTAGAAAATACTATATTTCAAAAAAGGTCTGTCAGAACCTGTCATGAAATCATCTGTATCTTGGTCTTAGCTGCAACACTATTAGTAGGTACACCTGACACATGGAAAAACTACAAACATAGCACTGCAAGATGCAGTGATTCATTCCAAGTGTGACTTCAATAAAATAACCAGTATTTTCCTCACAGCTGTCATAAATAAAGTGGTTCATATTATCAGCAGTAACAGCTTGCACTGTAATTTATCTACCAGATAAATATATGGACTAGCCGTTTAACTCAAAAATTTTCTGAGGTAAAGCACCTATATTGTTCAAAGAAAGAATGATCAGTTCACCATGAAGCTTAAAGCACAGGCATAAAATCATGTTAAAAAATGCCAATGCACCTAGATAGTAGACAGATCTGGCAGCATCAGCACCTTTTCTGCTATTTTCAGCTGTTAAACAGGCAAATAAGCACTGATTTCACTAAAGAGTATTTTACTTGAACACATTGCTCTTTCTAGAAAAGTCAGTGTTGTCTTTAAATACTTTATATTAATTAAGAATATCTTTTACTACTGAACAGGAAGAAAAGCAAAAGGAAGAGGAAAGGCATAAAAGAAAGAAGAAAGGCATGATCTTCCATTTGCATACTGCAGACCCAAAACTTTACCTCAGTTGCAATACTGGAATTCCCTGTTTCATCAGTTTAAAAAACAAAAACTGTTTAACTTTCTACCGTGGATAAACACACACATTTTGGAGGAGAGATAAGCAAATCAGCTCAATAAGCACATTTACATGAAAATCTGTTTGCACATGCTGTTTTTCAGGAAACATCTGGTCTGGCACAGTTACTTGAGTTGAATTTAAAATAAATTTCTTATTTAAGAAAGTAATTTTACTGAAGATTAAATTCAACAATGTCCATGGCAGATGTAAAAATAAACATATTGGTAAAATTCCTGACATCTGAACAGCAAATTTCAATCTTCTGTTTTGCCAACCTAGTGGTGCTTCATTAAGAGGGAGATGTTTTAGACTCTGACATATTCAAGCAAATTAACATACAGCATACTTTTACTTCCCACAGTGACCAATTCTTTCTTTTACTGTACTCAGCTGAAGTAGGCTATCTGGTATCCAGCAATCTTCCACTACAGATAAGCAACAACGTTGCCAACCAAGCCTCAGGACCAACAAACTACGGGTAAAGGCAAAACAAAATGGTGCATTTCAGACTCCCAGAAGGAAAGCCAAGTCTCTCTGCTCACAAGGTTCAGCTCTGTGTACTTCCATAAGACCTGCCGAGCTGAAATCAGAAAAGACAAAAAAATCAGTAGACACACAGCGGAACAAAAATGTTCCCTGCCTACCAACCACCTCCTCTACCACCCATCCACTGCATGGTACAAAGCCAGTATAAGCCAAAGGAGGGGCTAAGGACCAACTACAGCTGAAGCAGTCACTGAAAAGTAAAGGCACAGCTTCTTGGAGGTCTGAGTACTTGCAACTCAGAGTAAGGATAAAGCCTTACTAAAACCCCTGTAAAAAGTAGAGCCACAACCAGACACAAGAGAAAAAAAAAACTCCAACAAGGACCTAAGGGCCAATGCACAGCACAGAGCTCACACAATCCCATCCCAACCAGACTGTACCACAATGGGGAAACCTCCTCCCATCAAAGGAGCCCCTCAGACAGACGGTGGTGCTATCCCCACCTATTGAAGATTCTTTTCCAGCCTCCCAGAAGAAATCACTGGGGTTTTTTTCAGATATTGTAATGAAATTCCTACGTCTGACTGCTTGAATTAAAGCATACTGGATTAATCAAGCAAGTTAATCAAAACTTCTTCTATTGATAAGTTAGTAAGTTATACCCAGATACAACTAAATCAGACTAAAAGGTACTAGAACTTGAGTCTTATTTTTCAAAAAACAATTAAATTAAATTGGAAAAATAAGTAATTCTTTAAAAAGTGAATCAGAGAGCAAACATTTGTGTGCCCGGTCTTCCAAAAAAAAAAAAAAGGTGACCGGTTTTTGCCTGGGTGAAAATGGAGTGCAGAAAAAAAATGAGTCAAACCCTTTCAGTTTTCACTTTAAAATGGTTAATGCACAGTAGCGATTATCTTTGAAAGATAAATCCGGTTGGTTCTTACTCACAGCAGGATCTTACTTACAAATACCGCTATTCACAGCCCCACAGTGAGAACCAACTAAAGCCAGCAGCAACCTTTATGCTTTCTAAGCTGCAGACTGTACGCAGGGGCCAAGGAACTGTACACCGTCACAAAACAGAGCATACGGATTTCTTATTGTCCTCTGCAGCAACACTGTCTGAGGGTGGTTTCTCTTTTTAAATTTGCAAGCCAAAAGAGGTCAAACAAATATTTTTTCAATGGAGATTTAAAGTTTGTGCACTGAACTCTAGTCTGCTGACCATAAATTTTCTATATGCCTTTCACAGGGATTTACAAACTGCAGGAAAAAAATAAAAGAAAAAACACCCTGAAACTTTGGATGAATGTCACAGAGTCACTATTTATCCAAATTATCAAGTTACACTTTTTACAGGAAGGGAAGGGCATTTTCACCACAACACATTCAGCAACTTCACTCTCATCCTGCTCAGGAATAACCATTTAGTAAATTCAGGTCTCAGGTCTTCCTTTTCTAATGCATTTTAAAATAGAAGTAACATATTAGAAGACTATGAAAACCCTAAAAATATACTATCTGTCCAAAGACAGGGTCACTGTTACCACTTCACTAATCATATTTCAGCTGAAGAAGTCTCTCTTCTTTCAAATGACTACCTTACAAGAAGCTAATAACCAAGCATCCTCAATGTCCTTTATCTGATTAAAAAGAATTCCCAAACAGGTATGAAGCAAAACAGAAGCTAGAGGTTTAAGGTAGGTACCTAGCTCAACAACAGAAGTTGGCTAACCAAAAATAACTTGATAAAATGCTCTAGATACCTGGACATGTTGCCTAAGTGTACTTTTGGATAATAGTATTACCACTGAAATAATGTGTATGAAAACAAAATTAAACAAGCAAACTTATGCACTTGAACTTTCTCAAGAGTTAGTCATTTTTACGACTAGTTAGTTATTTTCATGAATATATTTTGTTGCTGGTATTTTTCCCATATAACATGAACTACCTTGTTAAGATCACAATTAATAGGACACCTGCTTATGTTAAATTAAGATTATGAAACAGAGTACAGTAAGTTTAGATATGTGATGAGAAACCCAGTAAACTGCTACAATTTCCCCACCACTGCAAAACTACACATATGGTTTGACTCTAAAACATGCAGACCTCCCACTAGGAGAAAAAAATTTCAACATAAATAGTTCTTTAAGAGCAAAGTGCTGCTAAGATGCAAGATGAAAGGCCACTCAAAAAAAGTAAATTCAAGAGCAACATTTTCTAAAATCCTGATCAGCTCCTCCTATCTTCATGCTGACAAGGGAATCCAACGAAGTAAAACTAGTCAAATCTCCTGAGTGCAGGCGATAAACACAGTGTCCACTGTGTGCCCAACAGCCGAACCAAAATTTCTGAAGAGTGGGGGTAACACTTTTCCAAGCAGGAGCTGGAAGGCCTCTGGAGGCACAAACTGTTGGAAAGCCATCAGTCCCCGGAGCAGCGGTAAGGCCTCCGCAGCTCTGCCCATGGAGAGGGAAGGCAGGGAGCGGGGCTGCCGCAGGGCTGGCTCGGAAGGAGGAGGAGGATGGTGAACAGTCTCAGGTCACCGCCCGGGCTGCGACAGACCACGGAAGGGCATCTAGGCCGACCCTTCCCGGGAAGGGTAGCCGGGAGGTATCTCATCTCTGCATTGATTTCTATTATTTCTACCACCGCCGCGAATACTCAAAGATATTTCGGCTCAAGACCCTTAAGAAGGAAGGCTGGCTGAAGAAACACGAAAATGCTACCAGTGTCCAGCAGGCGCGCCAGTCGAGCCCTGGCAAGCCGGCCCGGTACCTCTGCGAGCATGCCGGCGGCGAGCGGGAAGTGCCCGCGGGACGGAGCCCCCCGGGGCCGCCCCTCACCGCCCTCACGGCCGGGGCCGCCGCTCGTCCCCCACCGCCGCCGGCAGAGCCGAACCGAGCCGAGCCCAGCCGAGTCCGGCGGAGCGCAGCCGGCAGAGCCGCGGCCCGGTCACCGTCGCGCCCCACCACCACGCGGCCCGCCCGGCAGCCTCACCTCGCCGCGCCCCGCCGAGCAGAAGCGCGACCGCCGATGCGTCGCCTCCCGCCGCGCCCGTCGCCCGCGGCAAAGGAGAGTGGCGGCAGCGGGCGGGCAGGGCGGGGCGCGGGGAAGCTCCCGCTCCGCCCCGCCCCACCCAGCCCCTCCCCGTCCCGCCGGCGCCTCCGGCCGAGAGGCGCCCGGGGCTAAGCAGAGCCGTGCGTTTGCCCCCGCCCGCCAGAAAGCCGCGGGATAGCGGCTGCGGCAGCACCTACCGCCCTGCCGTGTGCCGCCCCGCAGCCTCCGCCCCAGCGGCTCCGCCACAGTCCTTCCTTCACCAGCGCTTCTGCTGAGTTCCACATTTCCTGTCCTGACCACAGGCACTTCAGCTTCTGGAAAGCGTCACGTAGGCGAAGCTGAGAGTCCGAAATCAGATACGGAGTGACAGAAGACTCAGGAAGGCTGTTTCAATACCTACTTTTAACAACCAAATGGATGACGGTGGTATTTTCTTCATTTTAAAAGAAGAAAAGTTAGTCCACCTGTTTATTCCATGGTTGTCATTAACTCAGCTGGACACGTTCCACTATCTAGATGGAGTCATAGAATTGTTTTGTTTGGAAGGAACCTTAAAGACAATCTAGTTCTAGGCCATGGACAGGGACATCTTCTGCTAGGCCAGGCCGCACAAATCCGTGTTCAAAACGGCCTGGAACACTGATGGGGCTGGGGCATCCACGACTTCTTTGGGCAACCTGTTCCAGTGCCTCACCACTCTCACAGTAAATAATTTCTTTCTTAATTTTATAATTTGTAAGGATTTCCTTTCTAAATTGCCCCTCTTTCAATTTGAAGCCACTCCTCTTTGTCACATCAATACAGTTGTGTCTCGGTTTGAAAGACAGGTATTTTCTAAGGAAAGGCAAGAACCCCTTTCCTGAGATTGTAGACTGCAACCCCCTCCCTTCTAATTATTTTAGTTTCAAATCAGAGGCTTTCAGGCAGAAGATATGGGGATAGGAATAACAGTTCTTTACTGATATCTAACAAGGCAAAATAGTAGAAACAGCAACAGCTATAAAAATTGACAACAAAACAGAGCAGTGTAGCTCAGTTCCAGTCCCTTTGGCCAAGGCCCTCTCTCCCTGCGCTCAGTTCCCGGTGCTGTGGGCAGGGCAGGGCCCGCGCAGCTGAAGGCGCTGGGTGATGGCAGCAGGGCCCAGGGCTGAGAGGGATGGAGGAGCCGCTCCCCCCTCACGGTGTCGGTCGTGGTGCTCGGCAGAGTGTCCGGAGGCAGTGGGATGAGGTGGGAGAGCAGCACAGCGATGTCCAACGGCAGGGAGCGTGGATCTCAGCGCTGGGATGGCGGAGAAGATGCTGGATCAGAGCACGGACCGTCCTCCTCTCACTCCAGGAGCCGAGCGAGAGAGCGAGAACCCGCTCCAGACCCCTGTCCCCCTTTTCCTTTTCTGGTGTCCCCCCTATCCCCCATCCCCCTGGGAGAGAAAACTATTGCTACTAAGGTGTAGCCACAAATACTTAGTATAACAATGGGAAAATTCCACAGAAAGAAAAGGGAACAATTCAACCCCCAACATTATCCACCCCTGAATTTTTCCTGTACTAATATGCTATATCAAATTAAAACCTTTACATTATATACATACATGCAGTTAGAGATATAGGCACAGTACCATAGGTATTTCACCCTAAAACAAGGTTTCCTTGGGGTATGCATTGGGTCTCTCCATCCTTTTACATCACCCACCAGGTGCAACCTGGTCCCTGAGCAAATACAACTCCCCAGATGGGATTATCTTTGCTGGAGGCAGGATTCACCCAAACAGGTTTTCCTAGCATACGTCTCATGTGTACCACTGGAACCTTATCTCCATCTGGTATTCCCAAGGGCACAGATTGGGCAGGGCCTGCTCAGTTAGTGGAACCTCAGGTGTTCACTAACCATGTGGCCTTTGGTAGATTAATCTCCCAGTTCTTGAAAGTCCCCCCACCCAGTGCCTTCAAGGTGGTTTTAAGCAGGCCATTGCACCGTTCAGCTTTCCCTGCAGCTGGTGCATGGTAGGGGATATGGTACACCCACTCAATGCCGTGTTCTCTAGCCCAGGTGTTTATAAGGCTGTTCTTGAAATGAGTTCTGTTGTCTGACTCAATTCTCTCAGGGGTACCATGCCTCCAAAGAACTTGTTTTTCCAGGCCCAAGATGGTGTTCCGAGCAGTGGCATGAGGCACAGGGTAGGTCTCCAACCATCCAGTGGTGGCTTCCACCATGGTCAGTACACAGGGCTTGCCCTGGCGAGTTTGAGGCAGTGTGATGTAGTCAATCTGCCAGGCCTCCCCATACTTATATTTGGACCATCGCCCCCCATACCAGAGGGGCTTCACCCGCTTGGCCTGCTTGATGGCAGCACACATCTCACAGTCATGGATAACCTGAGAAATACTGTCCATGGTTAGATCCACCCCTTGGTCTCGTGCCCACTTAGAGGTGGCATCTCTACCCTGGTGTCCTGAGGCATCATGGGCCCATC